GGGGGGGGGGGGCGGCTTTTACCTGAGGTGAGAAGTGCTCCTGGCCTGTAATCTCCATGGGACCAGGACCAAAGCTGCTGCCTGCAGATCCCTGCAGGTAGGGAAGGCCTGGGCTGGGGAGAGCCAGAGGGGAAACTTTCAGTACCTGGGCTGTGGGAAAAGGGGAAGGTCTAGGTATGGGCCAACCCCCAAAGCCTCACTCCAGGCCTCCCTGGAGTCTGGTCCCCCTGACCCTGAACCCATTGCACCGAGAGATTGCCAGCTAGCCCTGCAGTCTGCCTGTCATCCCTCCATCAATTAGTCCTCTGGCCGGATAGGGACCTAGAGCTGGCCTCCACCTGGGGGGACATGGGAGAGAGGCAGCCTGAGCTGTGTCCAGCCCCTGGGCCTGCCTAGTAGGGGGAGAGTGCAGGGGGCAGCTGCTAGGAAATGCAAGCTAGCAGAGTTAAATTGGGGAAGGAAGCCAATCACATGGTGTGTTTACTTAAGACCCTTCCAAGCCCCCAGCTCTGGGTGCCCCCCCAATGAGGACCGCCCTCAGTGTGGCCTGACCCCTCCCCTTATCTCTGCCCGGTTTCCTTAAGCTTCCTTCCTTCGGTCTGCTGGGGAGGGAGAGGTGCCTGGGCCAGCCCCACAGCCTTCCATGAACACATGGACACTACAGGGTGGAGCAGGGACTGGAAAGGAGATGCAGGAGCACCAGCCAGGGGCCAAGGGACACCAAGAGGTCATACCTGCCCTCTCCCACTTGGGTTCTCCAGCTGCTGTTTCCCTAGTTCCTGCTACTCTGAAATCCTCAATGTCTGAATTTTGAATCAAGAGGACCCGTGACTTGGGACAGAGACCGAAGAAGAGAGAAACAAGTGCGTAAGGGTGGGGGTACAGAGCCCAGGCCAGTCGGGGCCAAGCAATGTCACCTGCATCCCACGCTGACCCCAGCAGGACCTTCTGTGAGCTGTGGTGAGACCTGAGCACTTGGGGGTGGCCTCCTGCTGCAGAAACAGGGCTTATGTCATCGCGAGGAAGTGGACTGTAGTAACCACAGGCCCCGGAAACCGCGTCCCCTCCCCCACCCAGCAGCCTGCCTGATTGGATCTCAGCTTTTCAAAACCTCCAGGGAGTTGGGGTGGGGCCAGGGGAAGTGCCAGTGTGACAGTGTCCTGCCTGACACCCCTATTCTTACAGCTGGGGGGCAGTCAAGGGTGGGGCTGGGCCATGGGCCCCTGTTCTGTTCAGGTCTGGGCCTCAGTTTTACCCACCACAGAATGGGAACAGCTGGTCGACTTCTCAGTAATTGATAGGCATAAAATGTTAAAAAACAAAACAAAGCAAAGAAAGAGCCCTGCCTTGAAGTGAACATAGAAGGCATCTGGTTTAAGCTGTAGTAACTGCCAGGTGAAACACAGAAGTCACCTCCCGCCCAGTCATCGGTCGATCTGTTGCGGGAAGCCACTGTGAAAAAAAGGACATTGGGCCACAGATGGCTGAGCACCGTCCTTTACTGACCCTTCCTCTGCACCAGGCACGGTGCCCCCATCACCCTGGGGGAGCCCCGAGAGGTACCCAGGTTATCCCCGTTGCAGAGGGAGGAGCTGACCTTGAACCCAGGGCACCCTCACTTCCAAACACACATCTTCCGCATGTTACACTCTGCTGTGAGTCTCCGTGTCTCAGTTTCTTCAAAGGCCTGACTGTGCCCGTGGGGAAGCACTTAGAAGGCAGACCGTGCTGTGCAGACGTGGTGAGGCCTGGTGGCCTGGGCTTTCCCTGATGGAGTTGCTTGGCATGGGGGCAATCTGTCCCCACATGGTCCCAGCTCCTAAATGCCCAGTTCCCTCTTGTGTCAAAGGGAGCATCTCCTTTCCCTCAGACATGTGTCTCCATCCCCATTACCGAGACTGAGGCGTGGGGACTGGGGACCAGGGCCGATATGGCGGGAGAGGCCAGGGCCCTCAGCCCCTGGGCCTGCCTCGTAGGGGGAGGAGGGAGGAGGAGCCTGTTGCTCTGCATTCCTCCACAGGGACAGTCCCCAGGGCCCAGTCCCCACGAGCTGTCCCCACCAGATGCAGATGCTCTCACTCCTCTGGGCACTCAGCTCAGCCGACTCCAAAGCTCTCTGTCTCCCGGGAGGTCATGGGAAACCCCTGCCAGATGCCCTGAGATGGGGGTGGGACTGGGACTGGGATGCTGGAGCAGAGCTGAGCTGGGGGTCCC